CCATCAAATGAAACAAAAAAAAAAAAAAAAATAAATAAAAATAAAAAACATAAATTCAACGTAATATATCGCCTTTATTTTATTCGAGGCACGAGCAATTTAACGATTCTCAAAGCGATTCTCCTGGGAACACAATCTGCAATCGAAGCGTGTTCCTTCTTCCTTCCAGTAGCTCGGTGTCCATCTGGCGGCAATTACTGAAAATTCCACTAGTCGTCGAGGACATAATTACGACGTAAGTTCTCCTGACGTATCTTCTCCTCCAAGATTTATTTCGTATCCCATTAACGCAGTCGAACGATCTTTTTCAAGGGGCAAAGGAGGAATAACTCGAAGAGGGTGGCCCACCTACTTCACCGACCTGTTGGATGAACGCTCTCCGATGAATTTGAACAAGCATTACGGTATTCGGCCGCGGGTTGTGCATTTTCATCGCTCGTGCATTCTTTTTCTTCGAAAGAACACTTCGAAAGATCGTGGTCTCTAAAGGAAAGGAAAGGATCGAAAGGAAGAAAAAAGAAGAAAGAGTTGGGTTTCGCAATTGGCGTCGATATTAATTCTTGAACGATCATCTCTTTCGTACGAACGAAACGATTGCCACAACAATGGAAGAGATTTGCATAAAAAAAAAAAAAAATATGAATAACAAAAAAATGAGAAAGAATCGTCGATAAAATATAAATATGAATCGAGGTCGTCGCAAACTTATAACTTTTTTTTCTGCGAAGATCGAAGAACTTTTAAATATCTAACTGTGTGTGTTACTTTGTAATCGTGTAACGAGAGAGGACGAGACTCTTGCCTTCTTCGAAACATCGTAAACGTTCCTCGTATTTTTTTCCTCGCGCTCGTTCCACGGGAAATTACTTCTAAAGCGGTGCTGCCGATATTATCTTTTCTCGCGTTCCTTTGTTACCAAGCCAAAACAATTTCGCTCGGTTGACCATCTAAAGCACTTTTTCAACAAACGGAATTGATTAATCAATTATAAATCGTGTCTCGATTTATTTATTTATTTTTTTTCTAGATCTTTTTTTTATTTTTATTTTCAAGAATTATTTTTCTAACCTTTTTTTTTTTTTAATCTAACAAAATTACGTTAAAAGAGAAACGAATAAAATAAATCAATGAATAAAATATTGCGTAGAAAATTATCGAGAGACCGTCATCATCATCATCATCATCATCATCATCATTATTATCATCATCGCTTCCGAGAAAACAAATTCCCTCCGCTTTAGGGTTACATTCCTTCGGTTGTAGATACTCGATTGCGGTTCCACGCAGGATGTTCTTAGAACAGTGTGGACAATGTGAAAGATCCTTGCCACGGATGACTTCATACACCGAGTTATATTCCTTATACCGATTTCTCCTTCTTCCTCCGCGCTTTTCAGATTGTCGTCACGCACGTTTGTACCGTTATTGCGCAGCTATTGCGCAACACTGCATACCTGTAACGATCACATGAAATTTATATTGCAGAAAAAAAAAAAGTAGCGGGAAAAAAAGAATAAAAATTCATCGAATTTTTATCCGTTTTGTTAATCATTCAAAATTTGAATTTTCACTTTGGACGACGTGCATTTTATATATATTAAGTTTGGACGGGTTTGCTAGGGCAGGAGTTTTCGTTGAAGCGACCTAATGAGTGTGTTTTAACAAGGAGAGAGATGGAGCGACGATAAAACAATTAAAAAGGACCTTAAAGGTGGGATGAGACAGGGAGAGTCCGGTAAAAGGGAGAAAAATAAAAGATAAGAAAATAAGAAAAAGAGGAGAAGTGGCGGACTCGAACTCGTCAAGGACCAGAGGTCCTTGCTCTCCGGGTCATAGCGAGCCACAGGCTCACAACAGTTTCTGTGCCTCTGACTAAACCAGAGGCTCTCAAATTTATCCTATTTTTTAACTTATCTTCTCGAATCGAGGCTGGCACTGAAAAATGTACTGAAACTGTATATATATTGTATTATATTATATTATATTATATTATAATTATGTTATAATTGTTATATATAAATATTATATTATAATTATGTTATAATTGTTACATATAAATATTATATTATATTATTTTATATATTATATTATATTATATTATATTAC